AGAGTGCCGACCAGTGCTGCGATGACAACGATTTCCACAGATTTGGATTGTGATGAACCAAACGATGCGTTTGACTCGCGTCTGACGTAATATTCGGATTGTTGTCCAGCTTTTCTTCGGCTTTGGCCGCCTTTGTGTTCATTTGTTGAGCATTTTGTGGTTTTTTAGACAGCACTTGATTGGTGCCAAAGTTGGCGAACTGGAACACAGGGTTGCCGGACATGTGTTGCGAATCGTGGCTTAAATTTTCGATAATTTCAAAATTGTAGACCAAAAACGAGATCCAACCGATCAGTATTAACATGAGAGCCCTTTGCACTAAACGAGTTCGCGCCACAAAGTACACCACTCGCAGCCGTTTAGGCATTTTGAAGTGACTCGGCTTCGATGGCCTCGCGAACACATTCTGGCCATACGAACGGTTCCCGAATATTACGCTTAAAATACAAGTGAAATGTTAATAAATTGAACCCATTTTAATACAACTCATTGCTATAATGTGTTACCCGTTATCCGTCGATGAGTTATGACGGCTGTGGGTCTTCTGTGCGTTTGTGTAGCCATTAGTATTGGGTTTAGTGTTGAGCTATAATTTGAATGTTTTGAATAATTAATTGAATAAACTATTCGTTTAATGAATTCAATAAACTATCAAATGATTGACAGAAAACTTTAAAACTAATCTATAAAACGTTTAAAACCGGTTTTAAATACAGTGCGAAACAGTGCTCTAGAATTCGACCTTCAATTCAATCAAATGCATTATGCATTCAATGGGAATATTTATGTAAAAAATTGATAACAAATTTCAAGACCATTATTAACAATAAGTCGACAAAAATAGTTAATCAATTGAATAAATCGTTTCAAACCTCAAGTCGTTGGATATCAATGGATAAGACGGTCGCAAAAAACGTAATCTGAATGAAGAAATCAGTGAGCAGTCCGACGGTTGCGAAAAGACATAATTTCTATATAATAGGGCATTAAAAATACATTTTAATTAAAAAACAAAATAACCACAAGTGTTTCAAAAGCAATAATTCAAATCAAATCAAGACCTGAATCATTGGGACAAATGTGAAGAATCCAAACGTCAAAAGTGTTATCTCTGTCATGAGATTTTTGGTGATAGACCAGCCCTCGCGGCTCATGCCCTGCGCTACTCTTACTTTGATGTCCAGGTGTGCGGGCGTCGAGACAACAGACTTTGTCAGTACTAACATATTTTCCA